CTGGTCCTGGGTGCGGGGGTAGTGGCCCTTCTGGGCCAGGGCTTCAGCCATGCGGCCATAAATGTCAGCGTTTCGCCGCTGGCTTTTGAGGGCCTGTAAGGCCTCCTCCTCTCCCCACAGCTCCAGCAGGCTCTTGATCTCTGCGCCGGACCAGGATGGTGCCCGGCACTTGGAGCCCTTGGCTGGGTCCCCAGAAGGCTCGGTGGAAGGGCCAGGAGGGTCTTGGGGCTGGGACATGCTGCAGCAAAGTAGCCGTGTGCTCTGGCTCCTTGTCTGCAACAAGTGTCTGTGAGGGTGCCTGTCCCTTTAAGGAATGGCTGCAGCCAGGAACCACAGACTTGCAACCCATGGCCCAGATTGTCCACGAGGGCTTCTTCCTGGAGGCCAATTCTTTCGAAAGAAAGGGCTCCCCCCGTCCAGACTCACGTTCTTTCGACGGATCTCCCTCGAAAAAGGCGTTCTTCCTCGTAAAATTAGGTGTACAGCCGTCGAAAGAAAAGCCGCGTTCTTTTGATTTAATTTCGAAAGAACGCGGCTTGAGTCTGGACGCAGGGGAAGTTCTTTCGAAAAAAGGCTACTTTTTTCGAAAGAACCCCTGAGTCTGGACACGGCCTAAGTGTAAGAATCCAGTACATTAAGGATTTCAGATTCTATTTTGCAATTTGGAACTGTCCATGGGTAAACAATCTACTATTTAAACACTCCATACCCCAGAATTGTAGAATTAGTATTTAATGTGCTACATAAAAATCTATTGTTATGAATAATAGCTGCAAAATGATGTCATGTTAGGCAGCAAGGAAATAAAAGCCAATGAACATAATTTCTGTATTGTGAATTTGCAACACTCCTGTTTTACATTTATGGATTTAATTCAAAGAATGACAACATCCAGGGCACCAATATGGTAAACCACGCATTCATTGTGTCAGCATAAACATACATAACGATAGTTTTCTGCTGACAAACAATGTCAGCATTTAGTGGAAAGATTCAGTAATCTCTGCCTTCAATGGCACAGACCTAATGTTCATTCATGGAGGGACACATTAACAATTGATCACTAGTTTAAAAATAAATAAATAAATACATAAATAAAAGCCTATATAAACTGGAGCGGAATAAAAAGGGACAACAGTATTTACTACAAGAATCTGAAATCTAATGGGTCTGATTTAACCATGAATCCTTCTGAAAAACACTTAATGCTCTTTGTTGGATAATTTTAATACAAATGCTATATTTTTCTAAGAAGAAAATGAAGTATCCAATGTGCTTTCATCAGCGCAAAACACAGAACTAAAAAATTAGCAAGTGTAACCCAAGATAGACAAAATGTTATTTGCTATTAACTGGAAGAATACTATCTCTTGGCTGTAACATTTTGCTCTGAGTCTAAAGCATTTTGCTTAGTATAAGGTAACCGCATAGGGAAATTCGGAATACAGGACACCAACGGGGGGGCTGCTGGCTCTCAGGGCTTAAGGCCCATGGGTGGGGGGAGTTGCCAGTGCTCAGGGCTTCAGCCCTATAGAGTGGGAGGGGAGCTGCCAGTGCTCAGGGCTTCACGCCTGCAGGAGAGGGAGGGGATAAGGGCTTCCAGTGCGCAGGACTTCAGCCCCACAGTGAGGGGGAGGGAATCCACCAGCACTCAGGGCTTCATCCCTACGAGGGAGAGGGGAGCCACCAGTGTGCAGGGCTTCAGCCCTGCAGGGGGCAAGGGGAGGAGGTGCCAGCACTCGGGGCTCTAGTGGCTGAAGCTCAGAGTAATGGCGGCTCCCCTCCCATCCTACCCCGCTGCAGGGATGAAGTTTTCTTTCACAGCATGCAGCGTGGGGAGGAGAGAGGAGCCCTGAGCACTGGCAGCTTCTCCCCCATCCCCTGCAGGGGAAAAAAGGACAATGTGCCCATTTAAAAAAAAAAAAGTCAGGACACCAGGAGGAGGCCTTAAATAAGGGTTTGTCCTGGTAAAAATGGGACAGATGACCACCCTAGTTTAGTACCACATAACTTTTCATATGAAATGCTCAGCATCGTTGAGCAATCTTCTTTCATGGAGATACATACATATGTATATATAGTAGTCTTATATTCTGTATCTGCAAGCCCACACTGCCCCAGTAAAAACATGCCCATAAAGGATACAAAAATATAATCATCCATGTATCGTTTCTTTAGATTCTCCACTATAGAATCCTCTGTGATTTTGGAGAGAAGAACCATATCATCCACTCCGCTGTGCTTGACATTGTGACTCTGCCAATGATACCGGTAGTGCACCTTGCTCCCCTGTAAAATAATTTAATATGGATTGAAATGATACAGAGTTCTCATTAGCTTCAAAAATTGACTTCAGTTCATTCACATGCTGACCCCAAAATATTTTCTCACATTAAAAATCATCCACATCTTACAGTCAGAGACAAGTAAAAAGGCATCTCCCTGCATGTGTTAACTTCAAAATTTTCAGTAAATAATTCAAGCACTCATCAATCTATTTAAGCTGACAAAGAGAAGGTTACGAGGTTATTTGATCATAGTGGACATGAATCTATACTGGGAAGAGATTTACAGTAACACACAGTTCTTTAATCTAGCTAAGCAAAGCATAATGAGATTCAATGACTGAAAACAGAACTTCAAAAATAAAATAAAATAAAATAAAATAAAATAAAATAAAATAATGCCAAAAACCATGCAATAAATAAGGTGCAAATATTTAACAATTACACTAATTGACCATTGGAATGATTAACTAGCAATATAGCAGATTCTCCATTACTTTAAGTCAAGACTAAATATTTTTCTAAATGAATTAAATTCAAACAGAAGTTATTAATTTGCAGAAATTATTGGGTGAAGTTTTATGGATTGCGTAATGCAGGAGGTCAGATGGTTTAATCATAATCCCTACTCATCTTAAAATCTATGAATTCTTTAATTTAGATTTGTAAAGAAAGAGGCACATGCTAGCCATAGCCCAACTATGTAGTCCTCATATGTGAAAAATCTTCTTGCATGTGACTGGTGCTTTGCCTTTACACAATGCTTTTGGAAAACAGTGATTTTGGAAGCATTTTAAAAATGAAGGAACTAATTAATTTTTGGAAGATATTTTAAGCCATATGACTAAAAGATCAATTGAGGGTCAGGATATTTGAGAACATGAGATGAACTGAACCAGAAGTCCAACAAAAAGCATAATTTCCCTCAGCATATTCATCAGCTATTTGGGATATTATCTTTGGAAAACTGGACTGGCAGAGTAGATACACAAAGAGGTACAGAATCAAGAAAAATACAAGAAAATGGCCGTCATTTCAAAACTATTCAGATTGTGGTTTAATATTAGACACAGAAGGAACAATTATGCTTTAATTGAAGTCAATAATAAAACTCACACTGAATTCAGTGAGAGCAGGATCGGGTCCAGGAAGCCAACACAGATGGAAAATGAGTAAAATACTGGAAGATTTTACATGAGCCTGAAACTGTTGTTGAATACATTTTGGTCATGTATATTGGGAGGCCAGAACATTTTTTTCACAAAAGCAACACAAAACAGCAAGAAAGCAGGATAAGCAGCACTTGGAAAGATCATCTTATAATTTAAAACCACTTTCCACATTACTTACAAATATGCATTTAGATTAGATTAGGATGTCTCAGTTTGGATCCAAAAAGGACACTTATAAGCAAACAGAAGAAGGAGCACACAAATAACCTAATGACAAAACGTAATTAGAAACAAAAGCATGAGTGTGCAAGATATTTTAGCAGGATAAAATAATTTGCTTCAGATTAATATTGTATCACATTTAAATTGGGGGTTTCACCAATATCATTGAAACTTCATTAAAGCCATCGAGAGGAGTGCCAGCATGATCGGAAAATCCAGCAGGTCACAGCCCAACCTTACCAGCAGCTCTGCCAAAATAAATAGATGCCATATCTAACATTCTCTCCCTGTACCTGGTCAGCTTGGGCCAGAGAGATGGAGACATAGCCCTGCCCTAACCCCACCCTTCCCGAGAATGCTAGCTCCAGTAGCACAGTGATGCTGTTCCTAGCTACATCAGGCCACTAGGGCACAAGATCTGTGAGCTTCTTTGTGCCCTCGTTCCATCATTATTGCTCAGCCATGCAGGAGTACTCACAATATGTCCCTTAACTTTATATATTACAACTTGACTTGAATTGTATACAACCGTGTATAACAGGTATTACTGAACACTTGACTAACCCTATGCATGCATTTAGGGTGTGTCTGCCTTCTGCATCTTTTTGTAGCAACATTTACTATTATAGATTTATTGTAACACTTGATAAAACTTTTATCCACTTTCCCATACGCTCATAATTAAGGTTAGTTTGTTAGCCCAGTTTTACCATAGTCCTCCATGCACACGTTCTAAGTAATATCCACAAGTTCTTATAAGACTAGTACAGGGTTCCCAAACTGTGCTATGTGGGCTTTGTGCTCCATCCATTCACTTCACAACGATTTTAAAGCATGTTGTACATGAATCAGTATAAGTTTGGGAGCCACTGAGTTAGCTAACCTGTCACAAAACACAATGGAGACAAGGCATATCTGTTTTAGTGAGAGGTAACAAAGGCAATCATCATGTGGGAGTGGGTATGACCTCACTTAGATAACTTGGAGTAAGCACTTTGTTTCCACTTAGGACTTTACAGTGATAACATCTTTGCATCAGTGAAGACAAATAGCTGTTAAAGGGGGAGCTTGGCAGATTTAAACAAACCTCAGCCTGCACTCAAGTTTTCAAAATCACAGGCTGGAAGCGAGCCCCAGGAGACCCAAGAGTTTAATTACCTAGCTACCTGGGGGCCTCTCAGCAACTTTGAAAGATGTTTTCCAAAAACAATGCTTGAAGTAGAATTAGGAACTGAGATTGGGCAAGGAAACAGGAATAAACTATGTGTACTGCTTTGTTGTCAGCTTTTATTTTTCATTTTGTTGCTGTTCCAGGCTTATGATCAGACCTTCTTTGCATTCTCACAAGAATATTTGAGGGTGATATAACAACTTCCTGTATGCTAACAGTCTGCTGTTAGATGTACTCTACTTTAGGAATACCAATGTAATAGCTAGCACATTGAACTCAATTGTTAGACTGAAATCTGACAACAACAGCAGACATCAGTGATGATAGCCTCCTGCTCAATTTTATAGTTATTCCTGTTATAAATGCTTTGAAACAATCAAACCTGTAAACAAGATATAAATTAAGATTAAGATGCAGTTTTCATTTTTCCGATCTCTCAAGTGACAGACAATAAGATTATTCTACAGACACTTCAAATAAGCTTCAGGGAGCAGCCGAGTTAGTCTGTACAGGATAAACTTAAAAAACAACAAATAGTCTGGTAGCACTTTAAAGACTAACAAAACATGTAGATGTTATCATGCACTTTCGTGGGCACAGCTCACTTCTTCAGATGAGCAGCTGTTAGAGGTACTACACTTTAGGAATACCTAAATATCTAAAGCAGAAGCTTCAGCAAGTAGCTGAGTTCATCTGTACAGGATAAACTTAAAAAACAACAAATGGTCTGGTAGCACTTTATAGACTAACAAAACTTGTTAGTCTATAAAGTGCTACCAGACCACCTGGATCTAACTAAAGCATTTTTTAAATTCTTTGTGGATCTAACTAAAGCATTTGACTCTGTCAGTTTTGAGGGCCTCTGGAAGATTATGGCCAAATTTGGATGCCCAGATACCTTCATTGAAATGGTGAAGCAGTTCCATGACGGCATGCTTGCCAGAGTCCAAGATTGTGGCAATTATTCAGAACCATTCACAGTCACAAATGGTGTGAAACAGGGATGCGTCCTGGCCCCCAGTCTCTTCAGCCTTATGTTCTTTGCTGTGCTGATTGATGCCTTTAGAGAAAACAATGTCAGGATCGACTTGCGCTACCATTTTATTTAACATGAGGAGGCTTCAGACCAGAACCAAGGTTCAGGTGGAGACCATTCGTGACTTTCTATTTGAGGATGACTGCGCCCTCAACTCAGGTATGCAAGCAGGCATGCAACACTGCACGAATCTATTTTCCTCAGCGTGCATGAGCTTCGGCCTCACAATATCCACCAAAAAAAACAACGTTCTGCATCAGCCCACTCCTGGCTGTGACTACACTGAGCCATCCATCACTGTCAATGGCCAGAAGCTCGATAATGTGGACAAGTTTACATATCTTGGCAGCACTCTATCGAAGGCAGCCAACATCAACGAGGAGGTGAATACTAGAATCACCAGAGCCAGTGCAGCTTTTGGAAGGCTTCAACTTAATGTTTGGAATCGAAGAGGCATTAAGACTGAGACCAAGCTAAAAGTCTACTCGGTGGTTGTCTTGCCCACCCTCCTCTATGCTTGTGAGACCTGGACTGTATATAGTCGTCATGCGAAATAGCTGAATCACTTCCACCTGAACTGTCTACGGAAACTGCTGAAGTTAAGATGGCAGTATAAAGTTCCAGTTACTGATGTTCTTCTACAGGCTAATATGACAAGCATTCACACCATGCTTTGCAAGGCACAACTCAGATGGGCTGGCCATGTTGTGCGCATGTCCGATGATCGATTGCCCAAGAAGATGCTCTATGATGAATTACAACACATCAAGCGATCTCTTGGAGGTCAAAAGAAGAGATTCAAAGACACCCTTAAGGCCTCCCTTAAGAACTGTAACATAGATCCTGGAAATTGGGAGAGTATTGCTGATGATCGTTCCGCCTGGCGCAGACAAATACATGATGGTGCAATAGCCCACGAACAAAAGAGACTGCATTATGCTGCAGAGAAATGTCTTCTTCGCAAGTCCAGGGCTGGTATCTTCTCTTCCTCAGGTCGGCAGTCCGATCTTTCATGTCCCCACTGTAACCATCAATTTCGGACTCGGATTGGACTAATCAGCCATCTCCGAACCCACCCCCAACTAAACTGATGACACTGGGTGGTCCTCATCGACCTCGATGGACGAACAGCACCAGACCACCTAAAGTGCAGTACCTTTAACAGCAGTGCGCTGTGCCCACGAAAGTTCATGATACCATCTACATTTTTATTAGTCTTTAAAGGGCTACCATACTATTTGTTGTTTTTTAAGTTACTTCAGATAAGGCTATTTGAATCTTCAATGTGACAGAAGGTGGCAAAGACAGTAAAGCACTGAAGTCCACAATTTTATAACTGTTGTCACTTGTACAGCATAATTGAAATGCTGACTATGTAAGGGTATGTCTACACTACAGCGCTA